ATATGTGCTTGGAAGGCAGAGCTGTAGCTGAAAGGAAATCAGATGGTGAAATAGTGACAAAAGCATGTTATTTACAGCCAGTCTACTGATGGTGAGGTACTAGACTAAAGATTAGTTTTCTGTGGAAAGTGAGAACTATGGCCCATAACTCTTTGCTTGGATACTTTTTTTCTTTTCTTTTCCCTTTCTATTAACTTTCCCAACAGCAGAAGAATCTGACTTCAGTACTCATTTGGCCAGAACTGTATAATAAAGCATTGAACAAATTTATTTGTGCCTTTTCTGAACCTATACCTCAGTAGGTTGTCTAAGCAGAGATGACGTGTTTCTGCATACTGAAGATATGGTTTGAGGTTTCTCACTCTAGGCTTTATGCAAAGATTGTCCGCAGGAGCAAAGACAGCCAACTTGTTTTGGTGTTGGTGGAAAATAACTGTGTGTACAATGTTTCTCTAATACTCACGAGTAATTCTATTTTCAGTGACACTCTTCTTCAGAGTAAGATGGAATATTCAAGGGATGATATTGGACCTTAAGTTTTCATTGTATAACTTGCCAAGGAGCGAAGTGTGTGTGTGTGAAGGGAGTTTTAAGACAGTGAATATCTGTGGCATCTGTGTGAAATTAGGAACAACAAAATAACTATGAAAATCAGCTGGAATTGCATAAGCAGCTAAACTATGACCATCTAGGGCATGCTGAACAAAAAGGATGTATCTAAAGTAGAACATGCTAAAATGAGGAATGTTCATACGGTCTGGCATGAAGCCAAGTGCATACTGAATTAGGTCACTGCTTTAAGTGTGAATGTTTCTCCTCTTTAGAAAGACATACTCATCCTTTGCAATAAGGAACCAAAACAGAATGCTAATATAATAAAAACAAATTTGAAAGCATTTTCAATTAGCATGCTGGTCTACTCCCTTGTGCTTAGGGAATCAATGAGCTCTTTTGTAAGGAACAGAAACATTTCCATAGTTGAATATACATAAGGCCCTGAAAATGCAGAAAGAATAACAACCAGTTGCTTTTGGAAAACTTGCAGATCTTTATCAGCTTTGTATAAGCCTCACATGTCTCATTCTTTGGAGATTATAGGGAGTATTGCAAATAGACTTGTTTTGAAGAATTGAAATAATGTAAAATATCAGCACGTGCAATTTAAAGATTTGGAACTTAATCTCTCAACACTGAAATGCTGATCCCAGGAACTGCTGCATGATTACTTCTTTCCAGGTAATCTTGTTCTTTTTTTATAAACTTCAGACTGTACCATGTGACACTGAATTAATTTTCCTATTGCGATTCTTGGGATCCTATGTGCTTTTGCTAATTCTGGGGTTTCACAGTCTGCTTTCACTTGTAATCATCTTAAACAGCCTGGGAGCAGTTACTGGAATTAAAGTAGTTCTGTGCTAGACCTAATTCATATCAAATTTGGGATGTAAGTATGCAAATCCAGTGCTTTCTTGAAAAGAGGATAGTGACATAGAGGGCTTGGAAACCCTTCATTCCTGATGGGATGAGAATTAAGATTCTTACTGGCTTCATTCACTTCTTGAAGGATGCAAGATGTAATGTTTGACTCCTTTTCTGATGACTCTTCTCAGCAGAAATAATACTGAGAAAACCAGAGATGTCCAAATTGGCTCAGTCCCCACTGCTTCAGCAAACTAACTTACCTCTTCAGCTCTCCATGTGGAATTTAAAATTTTAATGTTTAACATAACTGGTTGCACAAACATTCCTTGCCTTTAAAGGCCACAGGGAAGCTGTGTTTGGAAAAATGCCTGTTCTTTATGGTGTCACATAAAAACTGTTGAAGATAAATAGGCAAGGCCTATCTCCATGCAAAAAGGCTGTCTTGTTAATAAGATCGTCACTAGCCCACTAGAAAAGGGTTTCAACTAATGAGGGAATAATTAGAGCCTAGAAGGCAAAGAACTAGGGAGCTCTCTACAGCCCACCATGTGTAGCTTCCATTGCTTCAGAAGCAGCTTATTGTTCCCCTTCCCTAAGCACCCCTTAAGGCAGTGCTCCATAAAACAGCCCTCTAGTGCAAATAGGTAAAGTGCCAGTAGGAAGGCCCAGAAATCTGCAGTTATGCATAATCTTTTGTTCTTGGGTTAGTGATGCAATGTAAGATGCTGTGGAGGCGTGCTGACTTTCTTAATCCATGCTTACCATTATGATGTACATTTGGCCACAGTTAAGAAAGTTAACAACAGAGTTGTTCTTTCATTGCTCCCTGCCGATGTCTGAGGGAATCTTAATCTCCCAGTACATTGTGTACTCTTGACACCACATCAGGAAATCTGTTGTCACTTGCTTCTAAGGCATGAATGAGACTTAAAGAAAAACTTAGTGACTCATCAAAGTTGAACACAGGGCAATTTATTGGTAGAGCAAAAATTGAATAAAGGCCTACTAGGCTAATGTCCCAGCTTCAGGGGTGTCTATTTATCGCTTAACAACAGTTACTGATTGTTTAAAGCCTGTGGTGGTAGGAGGTTGTGTGGCTTAGGTGGCTTTAAGTTATAGATTCAGTAATGAGACAAATCTGTCTGTGATTTGAAGCTGCCTTCGCTGCCCATTATCAAGCTGTACCATGGTAGCCCCGATAATCTCTTTAAACAGTCTTAACTAGAAATATTAGCTCCTGCTTTGTAGTACCTGCTTTCATTTTCTTCAGTTATGCTGTAAAAGTGAGGAGAAAGATAAAGGAAATCCACAAAGTGCTATTCTTTGTGTCCTGCTGAGCTGTAGGACTCAGCCTTGTTTCCTACCCTGTCCCTAGTACCAAAAGCATTTCTTTGTAACTTAGAAAGCTGATTTCTGTACTGGTATGGTAGCTGTGTTTGTGTATACAGCAATGCAAATATGCTGCTGTTCTTGACAGCAGGAATCAGGCTGTGCAGTGAAAAATGGTTGGGACTGGATTTGTCAATATTTTATGCAAGTCAGGTAGTTAAATCAGTCAAGGCATACTGAAAAATGATCAAAGGCGTGCCAGCTTCTGTATGGAGTGGCTTTAGTACAGTCTAGCATTTATCTAGGTTTAAAGAAACATCTGGTTCTTTGTTATTAATTGTGGCTTCATCTCTTGCTGTCTAACAGGACAAGAATTCAGGAAGAAATATGAAAAAACATCATATAGGCAACTTTGCTAAAGAAAATTTGGCATGATATTACATCATTTCTGTGAACTGATTTTATCATGTAGATCGCTTTTTCTTCTGTTTCCCTTGATTCACTATGTCTGGACCTTGGTCGGTAGTCTTAGGATACATCTGGTGTTGATCACTCTTTGTAGGCTTTTAACTTGCATTTATATCATGTTGTGTTTGTGTGGTGAGTAGTGACTAACTTCTGTCTTTTTTTGGACTTTAAAGGATGCCATCTAGACTTCAGCTGATAAAACTGTTACTTTTTACCAGAGTGTCCAGTAGCTTTACATGAGTTCGAAAAGCTTTTGCTTCAGATAACTATTGCCTTTAAGCTGCTGTATTAAAAATTTATTAATGAACAGCACTAGAAATACTAATAACTGCTTCAAGCAGTCCTGTAGACTTCAGCTGGACAACTCCAAGTTGTGAGGCTCTTGTAAAACATGACATGCAAACTTAGGATCAGCGGTCACAGGCATTGGTGTTGGTGGTACGAATAAATTACTTAATTTTTCAGGCCTTGTTATTGGAGCTTTCTTGCAAATGAGGCTGCTGAATATCATGATATCACTGATACATGGTACCTGGTTCTTACTAAACCAATATCCTGATGCTGAAAGTTGAATGGAGAGGGTGAAATGTTGCAAGGTGTTTGTTGTAAACGCATGGGGTGCATTGTTGCACTGTGACTTACTTGCAAATAGAGAAGGTGATGGGGTTTGTGACTGCTGGTGGTGTGAGATAACATTCTGTCCAACCCATATATAAAGAGTATTGGAGTGGACAATTTTTTTCTAATCTCATAAGCATACTGAAACTAAACAGAAGTTGCTCAAGTCCCAGAACTTCCCCCAAACAATTGTAGAACACAGTTGAAATGGATGTAGAGCTGATAGATTCCTGGATAAATTTTAATGAACTTCACTTATTTTATACAACCAGGTTTTAAATGAAAATATTTTCCTGATGTTAGACATGCATTGAGCTTACTTAGTTCTTAATGCTGTTACTGAAGAAGCCTATAAACCGTTTAGCTGTCATTGCTGAGTAGGATTTTTGGTATTGCTGTCTTGCATAACGGTCATCTTTCTCCCTGATCTTTTCCTCTGAGCTGGTTTGGTCGCTGGTGTAAGAGGGTGACCCATGCAAATGGCCAATGCCTCTTCACACTAGCCTAACCAAATCAGGAGGTGAAAATGCTAGTGAATTAATAGTCTGAAGCTCACTTTCATCAGTCAGGAATTGGGCTTTGAATTTGAATTTCTATTGAATTTGATCTGTTCTAAAATGCTGTTTCGGTGAACTTTGATATTTAAATCTGCAATACTTTATTCATGAGTGAATAATTATTCCCTAAAATATATTTACTTAAACTAAAAGCAAATGGTAACACAAGCTGCTTCAGTTGCTGCTTGAAAATAGTTCTTGGAATTTTTTTTTTTTACTTTAGAGGAGTAGGAAGGGTATGGGTTTAGCTGGTGGCTTTTTCTTCCCACAGAGGAAAACAAAACAAACAAAAAAAACACCACCAAAGACAAGAAGGAATGGGGGAGTTAAAACAAATAAAACTTGATGAGACTAGAACCACCCTTACCTCTTTAGCCAGTTATGTGAAAAACGTATTTCATGACTGTCCATATTGCTATTTTCCAGACACTACGTCAAAGGGAATCACTGATAGGTAATGCAGTGGAAAGAAATTGTTTTCTATTTTTTTTTTTCTACCCCTTCCCCTGGCAGTCCTTTGCAACCATGTGTTACAACTTTGTTCATGTGTTTTCCAAGTGAGTGGCTCCTTTGTAGTTCTAATATGCACCTTTCCTTTAATTTTAGGTTGTGTCTTCATTTTGCTGATTCAAACCACAGATTCCAAGGAAAGGAGGAGAAGTGGAATAAAATACTCAAGTGCCAGAGGAAAAGCCAGACTAGCCAATGAAAATGACTGTTACTAAACTGTAGACTGCTCTCACTTATACGCAGTGAGAGAAAAAACTGCTGTCAATTCAAAGCATATAAAATTACTTTTGCAGATGTTCCTCACTGAACTTCAAATAGACTAAACCCCTTCAACTAGGGTTGACTTAGGAAGCGGAAGTATGACTCCTTGCTGGTGTCTTCCATCTTCTTCCCCCTCTGTGGGGCTTTTTGTTTGGGGTAGGAAATCCTGAACAAATTGTATGGCGTCAACGAAACTTACAGTTGATGGTTATGGATGACATAGGAACTTCAGTATTATGTCTCTGCAATGACACCTGATTAAGGCAAAGATTGGAAACTGCTCTTCAGCTACTTTCTTAAAACTTAGGGTAACTATTACAGTCATGATTTCTTTCTCTTTCTAAGATTTGAACTCTGGGGTGATGTTCCCTGGAAGGCATGAGCAGATAAGTCATCTTTTTGGACTGGAAACTGAAATAATATGAGAATGCCCAGAAGAGGCTTAGTAATTCAAGCCAGGACTCGTTGGCTATTAGTGGGCCTTGCTTTACTATTCAGTTTAGTCTTGCTCATGTACTTGCTTGAGTGTGCTCCACAAACAGATGGTAATGGATCTCTGCCTGGTGTCGTAGGTGAAAACATGGGTAAAGAATACTATCAGGCTCTCTTGCAGGAACAAGAAGAACATTATCAAAACAGAGCTACCAGCCTGAAACGTCAGATTGCCCAGTTAAAGCAAGAGCTTCAGGAAATGAGTGATAAATTGAAATCCCTGCAGGAAAAAAAGAGCCCTAAGGTGAATGGTATGAATTACCAGGGCACCAAAGAACAAGCATCCAATGATCTCCTAGAGTTTCTTCATTCCCAGATTGATAAAGCTGAGGTGAGCGTGGGGGCCAAACTGCCTAGTGAATATGGTGTCATTCCTTTTGAAAGTTTTACATCCATGAAGGTATTCCAGTTGGAGATGGGGCTCACTCGGCATCCAGAGGAGAAACCTGTTAGAAAGGATAAACGAGATGAATTGGTGGAAGTTATTGAGGCTGGCCTAGAAGTTATCAATAATCCGGATGAGGAAGATGGACAAGATGAAGATGATGGAGTAGGAGAGAGGCAGCTGTATAGTGAAAATGATTTCATAGAAGGTATGTTTATTACATGCTTTCCAGTCTGTTAACAGAAAGTCACAAGAAGTGTTTAATGGTGTTTGTATTTTTAGGGGTTGTATATACTTGAATATAGTCTTGAACAGTAATAACGCAGTAAGAACCTTTATTTGTAATGAGGATATTACTGCTTCATTACCCTGTGTTTGGAATAGGGAGCAAGAAATCCACTTCAGAAGGGCTCACCACAAGAAGTGTATGGGGGAATCTGTATCCACTTAAATTACTGAGGCATTCGTAATTGACTGTAGTTGAAGTCAGTGTAACACAACTGCTTGTGATACTAAATAACTGAAAGACTTCCAGTGAAACTGATGGCAGTGGGAGGGGGAAATTTTTTTCATCTCTCTTGTTCCAGCATAGTTAAGCGATTAGCTATAAAGCTACAGGGTTTTTCTTCACTCGTCTCTATGCCACTTTTAGTTAATATTCAGGCATTTGACTCTCTTAGAGTTGTCATGCTCATATTGGCAGGAGAGCATTGGTAGGCAGACATGTTCTGGTCATGTCAGCTGAGGAACTTGATGTCCTGAATAGACACCTCGTGGTATACTAGTTATGGGGTCCACTAAGCTGTGCAACCTTGAACTGTTCTGTTGTTCCCTCTTCAGTTCTCTCTCAGTGCTTGTAAGTTTAATTACAGAACCCCTATTATTATAAAAGCAAATATAGCAGTTATGCTTTCAATACTTAGTGACACCCTTAAAAGGCGTGTTAGTGATAATTCATATTGAAGATGGCTTTCAAGATAGAGTGTAGTGCTGATGGAGATAAGTATTATCAAAAACTGCCCTACTACTTCTTTTTTGTATTTACAGTATTAAATACAGTTCATGCTGCGATTAAAAAAAAACCCAACAAACAACAAAAAACTCCCAGAAAAGTTGGACCATGTTATAAGAGCTTTACTGTAAAAAGGATTCTGAATCTCAGCAGTGCTGATCTTGCACTATTAAGCAAACATGTTGGAGAAAGGTACAGTTGGCCTTGAAATAATCAGTTCTTTCAGTCTGAGATGATGTAATTGGTCTGTAGCGCAAAAATTCTCTGCCTCTAACAGCTACTGTGTTTAAAGTTTAATGCAAGTATTCTTCATTCCAGAAGGTGGGGCAGGGTGTAGAATCCACTCTACTGTGTTGGTATAACACAGCTAGCAGCACAGTGGTTCTAAGTAAAAACAGTACTTATTCGGTCTGGAGGTAGTAATTTTTGAAGCCTTTTAATTGTTTTCTTTTTATATTAAGTGTGCAGCTGCTTTTCCCTTGCTGTTTTAGATGGTGCTTATACCCTAGTGGATTTTTTTTTTAACATTACTGAAATACCTGTTTATTTTTGTTAATGCACTGTCCTTAGTGACTGCAGACCTCCAAGAAAGCAAGCAGATTTAGGACCTTAGAACTGTACATCATACCCCTGCCTCTGTTCACACCAGTATGTTGATAATTGTTTTTGGAAATCAAACTAAATTAATTTTGCTGTAAAGGCAGTCTCTTCGAGCATAGGGTTACAGGAACTATAGAAAAAGAAAAGTATTTTTATGCTGTAACTCATATGGGTGTGCTAACAACTAGCCATAGTGATATGTATCAGTGTTTTTTCAGACAGAAGTTTTGGGTTTTGTGGGTATTCTGTGTTTTCGAATGTGCAAATACTAGACACTGGGCCAGCAAAAAGAAAAGCTTCTTCTGAATACTAACACCTTTTTTTTTTTCCGCCCCCAATTATTCCAAAACTGAAGTGAGAAATGGAACCAGCCAGTAGTGGTACCGGCAGGTCCCTTGCCCTGCAGCCCTGTGGCTGGGCTCTAGCACGCTACCTCTGTTGTCAGTTTGTGCATCCTTGTTTGGTGGAAGTCTGGTTGGAAAACTGATGCCTTTCTAATTAGAAAATACTGCTCCCTTAAGCTATCATAAACTGGTGGGTTCAAGTTTCACAGCGGACTTGGTATGTCTACTGAAGTCACAACAGGTCCTGTAACTGTCCTAAGAGCACAACTAAATTGTTGCTGAGTAGTTTTGCTCACTTAGAGAAACAGTTTGTTAAACTTGGTTTGAGTTAAAACAAATGGTTTAAGTTCTGTGTGCTCTTCAGTTGCTAATAGAATATTTTGTAATAAGTGATTTAGGACTAAATCTAGAGTTTTATGCAATTTGAAACAGGAGTCTGAGGAACATGGTGTGTGGATTACTTTTTTGGGTTCTGGGGTAAAAGAGAAAACATGATGCAGCGTTACTTAATACATAACCATCATATGTTATGCTTAATATAGATAAACTGACTTTGCTTTTGTTCTGATTTGCAGGAATTCTTTGTCAAAACTAATGTATATCTATCTACAAAATTGTGCCTACAAAACTGTTTCACAAGTACAAGCTAAACTAGAAACAGGCATTTTTAGTCAAGAAGTGTTCTAGTTTCCCACCTCAACAGGCTAAATTTTCATGTGGATATATGTTCGGTTCTGGGAATTATCTCAGCTTTTCTCCTATACTTGTGTGTGAAGTACTAGGCTAAACCTTGAGCTATGTAATCTTTTGTTGTGGTATGTACTTTCAAGTGTATTAGTAAATCCTTAAAGAATTCGGTGGCTGTTGAAATAAGTTTAGAATCTGTTTTCTTACAGACAGTTTTACCTAATGGTATCTCTTAATCTCCACTGAATATGTTTGAAGTTCTTCCCCAGTGTTTACGTTGCCTCTGATGCCTGGTCAGTGAAGTATCACTGCCTTGATTTGTAAAAGCAGCAAGAATTTTTTCATACTGTATTTTAGGATTTACCTATATTGGAGTCACTTGTGACAGCAAAGACTAATGACATGAATTTTAATCTGCCTTCTGCCCATTTAAATTTGTCTGTTTTATAAATAGAAATTTCCTAAATAAACGTTTCTGAAAAAGCACACTTAATGACTCGATAATATATGGTAGTCTGAATCTACTGATTTTTATTGCTCTAGCAGTGGACAGGCCAAAAAACTTAAAAATAAATGCTAACTTTCTTGTCACTACTCTGATTTTTGCTCAGTGCCCTCAATTTAACTGTTCATGAAGCTCCTTTGCTGCATGCTCACCCTCTGCAGTCTCTACATGAAGATATTCTGACTTCTACCAGTGGTACAATGAAGCTGTATGCACAGTAGGGAGCAACCTGCTCAAGTGTTTTCCAAACTGATGTTATTTTTTTTAACATTGCAAGACAAAGTAATGATCCAAATCTGTTTTGATATGATTAGGTAGAGCTGCCACAGCCACATAATGGCTACTAGCAGGTTTCGAGCAGTAACACCAAGCAAAAAAAAAAAAAATTATTTGCAAGTATGCATTACAACTACGAAGATACTTTCTGAAAGCTCCAAATTGTTTTTCATGAGGCTCAGTTGACTTGCTCTGCTGATGAAGAGAAAACCAGCAAGTTTCTCGGCTCCATGGGACTTGGTTTGCTGCATTGTTACCTGTTTTGCTTTGCTGTAACACAGAATGAAACTTCCAGAATCCTAATATTAACAGAATAAAAATCTGACCTTAAAGTCTCGTTCTGTAGTTGCTGTTTGAATAACTCTTTGAAGTTCTTTTCTTAATGTTTCAATTAGATCTAAGCATATGAGAAACAGGAGTATACTATTCCCCTTGGATGAAGACTATCCCTAAAGAGGATAAAAGTTTCAATATTAGATATTTTTGCTAATGAAGAGGTCTGGGACTACAAACAGCCGAATTGCTGAATTGGGCATTCTAAATTAGTCCTGGATTAAAAATAGATTTCTTTGAGATCAGTGTTTGATAACGTTGAGAAACAGAGTATAAGAAAGATGGGAAGGGCATAATAGTATCACCTCTGTCTGCCTCCTTTCTTCAGAAGCCTGTGACATTCATTCTTGAGTAGTGATGCAAAACTTATTGAAGAGCCTTCATGGACATCTGTACTTTACTATCAGTGTAACTGGTTTATTTGGGTTACATTTATCAGTGTAATGGGTTGGTTTGATCAAAAGATTAAAAGCTTCCATTGGAGAGACACTTAAAATTAACCTTTGGAAAAGAGAGGCATTAGCATATTTTCAGAAGTGAATTGTCAATTAGCTAATCACTAATAAAGGTCTTGTTATTGAATGTCTACCAGAATTCAAGTGCTGCTCTTTGGGTCCCTTTCTCTTGCTTCTCTGTTTCCAGTTGGAACTGGGCAAAGGCCAGAAACTATCTTTCGGTCTGAATCTCAAAGGAAGACTCCCCACCCATCCTTGGCATGTGAAAGTTTTTTATCCCAATGATGCAAGTTCCAAGTCAAAACTCTTTCAGAGTCCTTGCCATCCATAGAACAGTGTGGACTGTTTGTCATGCAAACACCCGCTTTATTATGTTCTGCATAAGACCACAAACTGGCCACTGTCCTGGGAACTTCAATGGAGAGTTTTAATACACACACAAAAAGACCTATGTCTTAAATTCCATAGACCAAATGCTTTCTTGGTAGTTGTAAAATAATTAACAGTATTGGAGGCAATAGAATAACAGCTTTTTGGCTTTGATAGTAATTGATCCCCAGTATTCCTAGATTTAATTTGTTTGAGAGAAACAACTTCTGCAAAGGTAGTAAAACTTCATGGACCAGGAGTAACAGCTGTTAAATTATTTCTGCTTCTTTTTACCTCTTTGCTTATAGAGCTCTATTTTGGATAGCAGCCAGTGTATGCTAGTTGGAAGGTGAGACAGCAGGTTTTATTACATGAGTCAGTCCCAAGTGTTAAAAATCTGAGTACACTAAGAAATAAAACAGATGTGGGTTCTTTTTCTGGCTGTTCTCAATTCTGGCTTCTGTGGATAGAAGCTTTATACCATAAAAGTATTCAAATTAATAGATTACCTATGGAGTTTATCTTCTAACAAGTATAATAACTCAAGGACCACATACATACTATCTAAAAGTAGTGTGGCAGTGGTAGGATATTGAGATTTCAAAAGTTTGGAATCTTATATTCCAGTCATTGAATGCTGGCAAGGCACTACTCAAAATCAGACTTGCATACAAAGGTTTTCATGAAGTTACAGCAGCATGTTTATTTTTTTAAAGTTTAATCTAGAAATTTTTATTTTGTACTACAGCCTTCTGTTGTAGATTGACATCTAAGCTTATCTTTTGGTTAAAGATAAGCTATTGGCAACTGGGACGTACTTCTTAAAAATTTCACTTACATTGTAAATGATATTTTCATCTGTAAACAGCTATTGATTATACTAGAGAGAGGAATATAATATACAATACTGAATGAATTTATGCAGAAGTACTAGTGCAAAGCATTTACTGTATATTGCATGAGAGCATGGCATGCAAGCGCTATGGTGCTTCAGCTGCTCCAACAACCAAGAAGCTGTTCACAAGCTACAGCCCTGGACTACGCAGCACAAAGGGTTGGACTGGAAAAGGATTGAGAGGCATTTAAGATCTTTTTCTGTTTCTAACAGTTAACACTATACACTTTTATTGTTTGAAATGACCTTTTCAGTATTTGTAGTTAATTCTGATTTGAAACTTTAGTGTTCTTCCCGAGCATTAAAATGTAGTGCATATTTAATGCAACTCTGTTCACAAAGGAGTAAATGTGGATTTCTGTCTCTTAAAGGAGTGCATTGCAAAACTTTGTTCAAAGGGTAAAAAGCGTTTAAGGTGAAGGGTTAGGTTCAGTCACCATTAACTTTCAGTGTGATGGCACCAGCCTGTTCTGCTACACCTTGTCTCCCACAGAGGCTGTGTGGTGGTCATCTACGTTTCCCATCAGGTTTGCCCCTGCACACCCTCGCCCAGGAGAAAGTGCGTCACAGAGCTGGATAGTGGAGGGGAACAGGGAGCTTGCTGTAAAAGAGGCTGTTGGGCAGATGCAGGACAGGGGCAGGAGGAGGGAACATCAGTGAATGAAACTGCACTGGGTTTGAGGAGGGAGTTAGGTAGATTTAGAGAAAGCACTCTTTGTCAAAGGAACCTGATGTATAGAGGAAAAGAGTTAGGGCAAGGTGGTGTATGTGTTCCTTTGCTGCTTGTATTGAATGCGATGGTAATGAAAGGAAGGGAACATGGAGGAATAATTGCCTGGGGAGAGGGAAAGAAGCAAAGCTGTAAGATCACTTTTTTCTAATTCCTGAGATAAAGAAACCCAAACTGTTCTAAATTTGAGGGCTGCTTCCTTTACATACCCTGACCCTTCTTGATTTCAGTTGCAAAAAAAAAGACAATAACAACAAAGGGCAATATCAATACTGAGCATGAGAGACAATTCTTTGTCATGGGAGCATTTCATCTATCCTGTCCCCTGCTGCCTTCTTTCTGGGTGGGAGGCTGGGAGAGCATTTAGCTGCTCTGGGGGGTGGCTTGCAGGAGAAGAGGCAGTTCAGGCTTGCCGGATGAATAGAAATGCATCGGTTGCGTGGTGTAAAGGCAGCTGTGTCCATCACCCTTGGGGATATGCAGCTATTTGTAACTTCCTTAATGGGCTGTGTGGCCAGCTCAGCTGAAAGTTGTTGGGTTCATAGCATAGCTTATGTTTCTTCTCTGTAATATACCTTTTCCTTGTGGGTGAGAGGAGAGCAGAGATGGAATGAACATAAAGCAATTCGGTTGGAGGATTTTTCCTGTCATGGTCCCTTATTCTCAGGTTAGAATAGATACAGAATTAAGAACAGAGCTCTGTTCAGTCAAAGCCACAGATGAATCTTGGTCTTTGTGGTATAAAATTAGAGAGGCTGTTGGCTTAACTTGCTTCCTAGATTGTCTTTAAATAAAAGGACCATGTTCTGAATGGGGTAGATTTTCCTACCCATTAGGAATAAAATATCTCTAAATAAGTAATTGTTGCAGCTTTGTAGAAAACAACTTCTGCCTATGTCCTTAGAGGACCATGGCTATAGAAAAACACCACTGTCTTTATCAAATAAAAATCATGGTAACTAGTGGTCAACAGTGAAAACAATTTTAAAGAGCATTCCAGCATTTATTACACAATTTTTATTTTTTTTTTTTTTTAGATATCACATACCAGTTTTTGCAGGCTTTGTCAGGCAAGTTATTGTGTTATTTGTTCTGCCCACAGCTTGTGTTGTGTTGACTGCTGGTCAAATGATCTCAGCTTTTACTGTGGGCTAGATCAGGGGAAGATACTGAAGGGCTTAAGAGCAAGCTGTATTAGATTTCCGCCGTTCTTTTCCATAGCAATTAGTTGAATTCCCTTTTTGTTGGGAAGACCCATCTTTAATTCTGTCTGATAAGTTGATGTAGGACCATAAAACTTGCTGTGGTCTCTAAGAAGCAGGGGAAGCTGGAGTTTGTGTGTTTTTTTTTTTTTTTCAGCTCTGGTCTAAGAGGGTAGAAGGGTGCTTGTGCTTGGTGATGGTTTGTGGATTTTTTTTTGTTTGTTTGTTTTTAGGAAAAGCTCAGAAGCTTTGCCCCCAAGGCTTTATTTTTTAATTCTTTATAGTTTTCAAAGAAAACCGTGTTTCTGAAATACAATTGCTGGGATCTTTGACTTTACAAATTACTTGTGTGACTTATTCTTCAGGTTACTATCGTACAGAAAGAGATAAGGGGACACAGTATGAGCTGTTTTATAAGAAGATGGATGGCATGGAATACAGGCATGTCACCTTGTTCCGACCTTTTGGACCCCTCATGAAAGTGAAGAGTGAAACGGTCGATATTTCTAGATCAATCATTAACATTATTGTCCCTCTTGCTGGAAGAACTGAGGCATTTGCACAATTTATGCAAAACTTTAGGTAGGTGCATGAGATTATGTAGTGAGCTATATTGCTGATTTTCAGTATTTTGTTTCTGCTTCGAAATGAGTTTCTGTTCTGGTGGATTTGCAACAGAACTAATGATTCCAACATTGTGTGCAACTGCCTTGGGATGTTTGTAATTGAACCTTTTGTATGGAGAAAACATTCCTTCTAAGATGATTTAAGAGATTCTCAAATTGCACCAAAACCCCTTTCAGACTGAATGCCAGGGTCATTGTGAACCCGGACACAGATGGTCTTAAACATTATTTTTGTATTTACATCAGCTTTTGCGTTCCTGTTTATAAAATAAGGTGTTGGAATGAGACACACAGTATTGGAACCTTCTGATTCAAATGGGAAAGATGGGGAAGGAAGAGGGAAAGCATCTTCCTTATTGTCTTTGGAAGCTAGTTCAAGTTAATGAGAATGGTTAAATCTGCTAATGCAGTAGCTTTTAAGTACCTGAAACTTCTGTTGTGTTGCAATTGTTAATGTCCACTTATCTTTGTCCTTATAGGGATGTGTGTATTCATCAGGATAAGCGTGTTCACCTCACAGTGGTGTATTTTGGACAAGATGGGCTATCAGAAGTAAAAAGCATCCTAGAGTCTGTAGCTAGGTAAGTGTGTTGATCCAATATCAGTCAATACTAACAATATTGATTGGCATTTAAAATGGATTTTAAAAAGAATGAAATAATAAAAATAATAAGTTTATAGTCCATTACAGGTTAATAGGGAAAGTAAGCTTTATTTACAGTACACTCTATTTCGGTTGGCATTTTACAGCTTAAGTTGCAAAAGTCTCCTGAAGACTACTAAAAATCAAGTTATAGGCCAAAAGAGACTCACAGCAGTGGCTTTGAGGTTTCTATCTGACAGTCCAAAAACCAACAGGGATGAGTTTTGCAGTGAATATTCAGTCATGCTAACAGACTGATCAGAATTAAAGTTCTGTGGAACTGGGATGTACCTTTCAATAGTTCTTTCACTGGACAATCAATTTTATTTAATGATAAGAAAGAGAAATATAGTCAAAGTAGACTGCTGAGTCTTGAGAAGTTAAGCTTTTCCCTCTATTCCCTAGGTACTAAGAAATTAGGCCCCTACTCTCTGCTACAAAACAGCTTTAAACACGGCTTCATCGTGGTTGTCTCAGCAAGTAACATTACAGTAGTACAGATGCAGAGTTTCCAAATGGTGCTTTTTTCTTTTTTTTTTTTTTTTCTTTCCCCAGAGGAATGGGACAGGTAATAGCATCCATAACCCTGTAGCTAAGGGCCACCTTCTCTGCGCTTGTCCCGTCACTGGGAGCCTGTTACCCTTGTTAGCCAAGAACAGGCTGGGCTCTGGCCAGGGCTCTGCTCGATGAAATGTCTGAGGCGTAGGCTATTGTGTCACTGGCTTAAAATGTGATGGCGAGTTGGCCTGGCGTGCACAGACATCTTCTAGGAAGGGAGGAGTGCTGCTGCCTTCCTCCTGCAGAGCCTCCCCGGCACCTCGCTGGCCGAGTGCCGGCCGCCGCTCTGCCGCCTGCCGAGCTCCCCGTGAGATGTCCTCTTCTCACAGCAGGGAGTCGGATTCAGTGCTGTGGACACACTGGGCATTTATCTAGTTCCTAATCTTCTTAGTGGTGCTACTGTTGAGTATCTGCACTCTGTTCTCTGCAAGCATTGCCTTCTGAAGTGTCTCCAAAGTAGACGCTTAATTTTACTTGAAGATATTCTCCGGGTGTATTTCCGGTCTTCCTTTGCTGATTCTTCCCTCTTCTGCAGTGAGTACAGACATGTGTGATACTGGTATGAAATGGCAAAGAGAAGCAAACTGTCTGGGTTAGGGTGGCATCACCACACAGATGGCCTTTTGCCTCCTGAGTTTGGTGATGCCAGGACTCTGGCTTTCCGTTTGCCCTCCTCTCTGATGCAGTGAAGATGGAGATACTGCTCTGTTAGTCAGGACTTCTTAGTTTGTGGGGACAAGTTTTAGATGGCGTGGTAGTTTCAGAGAAGGCTTTACTTCATGTCAGTTGCCAAAAGGCCTTTTTAATCTGTCTGAATGACTAAATGCGAAGTGAAGTAAGGCTGAGGTCCATCTTTTTACAGTGTCTCAACTCTGACACTTAAAATAGACAACTAAGTGGAACAGTTATTTTTTTCTCATCCTGATGATATAACTGTTTTTTTTAAAAATTTCCGGAATGAAATTACTGTAAAATGCTGAAAAAGTATAAATGACCATTCTGCCACACACATGGATTTATTTTGGGTTTGGCTCTGTTTTTCTTCTAGAGAAACTAACTTCCACAATTACACGCTTGTCTCTCTGAATGAGGAATTTAACCGAGGCCGAGGACTTGACATGGGCGCCAGAGCCTGGGAAAAGGGCGAGGTCCTGATGTTCTTCTGTGATGTCGATGTTTATTTCACAGCCGAGTTCCTCAACAGTTGTCGCTTAAATGCTGAACCTGGTATGTTCCTTTACAGTTGCTGTAACCGAGTTCTGTCATCTTGTTTGGCTCAAAATGACCTGGATTGAACATACAGAAAACTAAATTGGGTGGTGGAGCTTACTCTGTACCGTGCACCTAGGAAAATGAAAAATACTCTGTGCACAAAAGACAATAATATTTAGACTGAGAAATAACTTTTGCCTTAGTGTAGCTTGTTTTAAGAAATCATTGTCTTTTTTGTACAATAAGTACAATTTTCACATTTTCTTAAGATTTGGTTGTCTAAAAGAAAGCTGGACAGTTTAATTGCTTTAACAATTAGACTGCATGTAAATTTGTATAACAAAACCCAGTGTATGGTTGAAGATGATTTTGTTACACTAAAATCTCTTAACAAGTTTGGTTTATGCCTTCTCACGCTTGTATGGCCAGGACACATCACATATGAATGGTATTCCATAGAGCTACACAATGTGCTCCTTACAGAGTCTGAGCTAACGTTCCACATTTACTTCCCAAGCTCTAAAATCTTCTGACCACTTTTCTCAAGTTTGTATGAAGCTTGCTTGTTCTACAAGCTTCTGCCAAGAAGGATAAACTTTGAGTTAACAAGCATGCTAGTTAAGACCTTCTCCTGTCAAACATTTGTTTGGGTTCTTTTCTTAATGCTTCCTCTTGTTCCAGATTTGTTGCAGCCAGAAACCATTTTCTCCAAATGTCAATTTGGAATGAATAGATACTTTTTCTTCACATAATAAACAGGCAAGAAAATCTTCTATAAGCCAGATATTTGGATTCTATTTCTTGCTTTTTCTTTTATTTCTGCCTGTATCTGCACTTCATGAAATGAGTTGTATATATAAATGGAAAAACTTTGGAGAGGAGCATCTTGTGAGCTTTCACAAAGAAGGGAGCTTGAGAGACTGCTTGACAATTCATACTGACAGTTTGTCACCTTTGCTTCAAGTGAGATCTGAAAATGCTTCTCACACATTCAGAATTCATGCCCAAATCAGGGTACTGAGTATTCTTGTGGGCTGTCATCAACATCTTTGCAGCACTGGCAGTGCAAGAGATCCTTGAAAAATACTTATCTGGCTTCTGTAATAGGCATAGAACTGGTGTCACAGCAGAATCAGGATACTCATGATGCTTAATGTGCTTGCAGGACATCCTGAATGTACATGCTTTTAAACTCTTATGCAAAGAGGCAATAAAACTCAAGCTATGCAAGGTGTTACTTGGACTTGGTTATTTCTTAGTGTTACTGCATACCATTATTGCTGGGATTTTTCACTGTCATCTAATGTGATACTGTGCTTCATAATGTATATGTATAATATTTTATATCTACATAAGTATGTGTAACTGTATATGTATGTATACCTATAGAGTATATATAAGTATGCTTATATATATTTTTTTAATCTTGTGGGCTCTGCCCCACCAGATGTTATGTGCTACCTAACTGGGAAATCCTAGCAGTTAGACCTTATATTTATTTGTTTTCACTAGATGGCTAATAGCTGATATTATACATAAAGAGAATATTTCTAGTTTTCTCTTGCCTTCAGAAAGTATGCCCACGGTTAGTAACAATTACCTTTTGACTTCCAGGGAAAAAGGTCTTTTATCCTGTGGTATTCAGCCTTTATAATCCTGCTATTGTCTATGCCAACCAAGATGTACCACCCCCTGTGGAGCAACAATTGGTAAGCAGCATGATTTATTCTGGATAGAATTAGTTGTGCTTTGTATTAAAACAAAATTAAGTGTAACTTAATAGTTTGTTTGGGATATCTTATGACCTTTGGCAGTGCCTATCTAAACACTTTTCTCCATTATGTGCAAAGCACTTGGAAGAAAAGCTTATCAAACAGTACAAAACTAATTCTTAGATAAACTTAGAGTTCTACTTAGATTTTTTTTTTTTTTTAAAAAAGTGCTGTTAATCAAATTAAATTGGTAGTTCTGATCTATTGCTTAATTCTGGCTTGGAAAGCCAGTATTTTAGCAGGATAGTGGCATAACATGGCAGCAAATTTCATCCTCTGTTCCAGCAAACAAAGAAGTGGTGAAACAAGAAAAGTCTATGAATGGTGCTTGATAAGCTTCCCTCAGTATTGACTCTCTTTGCTAACTACCAAATGGTAGTTGCAGGAAGTGTGCCATGCAACTCGAGATGGGCTGAAATGTTCAGTCAGTTATTTTTTTGTGCTGTGGACAGCTGTACTCCGCAGATTGTTTCTTCACCTTTGTCATCCAACATCTGCCAGAACCACTGGCTGTTACGCTGCTAATTTCATCTTACTTTTGGGAATGATAAACTGCTTCTAGGGAAGGTTGTAGTCAAAATAATAAACAAATAGACTCTGCAAACATTCAGGAGAATAGGTCTAAGAATAATCAGCAGAATGAAGCAAGTACTGTATTTCTGGGTCTTTGTTGTCTGAAGATGGAATGGCCACGGTCAATGTCTAGCCTCATTCTCCATCAAGAGACTATGTAAATGAAATTGGGTTTTGCAGCTGGGACTTGTGAGGTAGACAGGTTTGAAGGAGAAAGAGTGCAACACAGCCTTACTAGAAGAAAAACTCTTACCCCCTACATTGTTTGCAAGGATCCTACTGAAGGTAGGAGGGAAGCTTTTGCATATGGCTTCAGGTAGTCACAGCAGAGAGGGGAGTGAGCTCCTGCCTGGCAACTCTGCTGTTTACTTTTTTGAATTGAAGAACTTGATGGTTGCCGACTTCAGTCACAAAACTTACTTTTCTTGTCATATCAGAACAAGAAGAGACAAATGTGGCCTTTAGAAACCAGGTCGGAATTGGAATATTGGGAACAGATGATTCAGTAATAGACTACCAAAAATTTACTGCTTGGTCTGAGCAGATATATAGAAAATAGAGGTGATGTGGCAGGAAGGTAAGTGTGGAAACTGCAATGAGAGTTAGTATTTGTAATTGGATGGCAAAGGGTGAAGTGAACAGCAGGTAATTAGGAAGGCCACATCTGTGCGTGTCACAGAAGTACTAGAAGTGTTATATGCTGTATCCTGCGCTGAGCAGATGATTGCAAGAGCTTAGGTTTCTACAAAACCAAGTGCAGTGTACCTCCTCCGATGTATTTTGGATTTCAAGATGATACTGTTTTAAAATTACAGGTACACAAGAAGGATTCTGGTTTCTGGCGGGATTTTGGCTTTGGGATGACTTGTCAGTATCGGACAGACTTTCTTACTGTTGGTAAGATGAAACTGTAAAAACAAAATATTTGTGTGTTTAAAAAATGATTTTCTGTTCTTATCTAATGACAGGAAAATAATGTGTTTATTTCTTTTATTATTTTCCCAAGCCCATCAGTCAGACTCGCTTGGCAAATTTGACTGAGGGGAAAAATCAGTGTTTCTAGATTTTGATGTCCCATCTGATGAGTTTTTGTTAAAAGTCACAATATTTTTTAGTAACAACATTTCGCTCTAGAACTTGTACAAATCTTTAGGGTCTTTTGTATTTTGTGACTGCCTGAATCAAATTAGTCAAGAAAAACATCCCTCAAGTAAACCACTAGCATAGAGAAGAAGCATTAAAATTCTTTCTTTTAAATAACCTTGAGTAATTCAATATAGTTGTTCGAGGCTTTAGAAATATGCTTTGGCACCCTCTTGTGGCATGCTGCTAAAACTGAGAACATCTTGATGTGCTTAAATTTGGAAGACTATCTTGAAGCTAGTCTGCCAAGGTGTAATGATACAGCTGTGTGTGCTGTATAATGGCTTGAATGCAGGCTAATTTCTAATAGCAGTCATATTTCCATGTGTATGGTACATGAAGATCTCATAATTCTAGAGTTTTGAAATTGTGCGTGAGTCTGGGTCGATTTTCACTATGGTGTCCTGGAAAGGCAAGAGAACTTAAAATGGTGGAACAAGTTCCTTTCCTTAATTCAGCTTTTTGAGTTGTGACCTATGGAGTAATTGCTCGCATTTTTAGAGAGGGCTTTTCATATGGTGCATCACTGCTTCATTTCCCAGCTGCTAAAATCCATTATGATTGCTAAAAATAACCCAAAAGCATAGCCAGTGAGGTTTGCCTACAGTTTTCCGCAGCTGTCAAATGGGATGTCATGCATAATGCGATTTGGAGACACTGTTCTAAGAGACTTTCTGAAGCCAGCAGTGCATGATCTGTGTCCTGGGCAGTTTCCACCGCAAAGGATGGGGTATGCTTGAAGCTCCTCTCCTTCAATTTGTCATGCTTTGTCATGGAGAACTTGAAGTTAATTGCCCCAGGATTCCTGGTATGTTTTACCAGATTGGGTAATACATTACACAAGGAGTGTTGCTCTTTTTGCCTTACATCTAGCCTGTGTGCCGAAATAACGTTTTCTGATATTGTTTTTATAGGGGGTTTTGACTTGGAAGTGAAAGGCTGGGGCGGTGAGGACGTTCACCTTTACAGAAAGTACTTGCACGGTGACCTTATTGTGATCAGGACACCGGTCCCTGGTCTCTTTCACCTCTGGCATGAGAAACATTGTGCAGACGAGCTCACTCCAGAGCAGTATCGCATGTGTATCCAGTCCAAAGCCATGAACGAGGCCTCTCACTCACACCTTGGGATGCTGGTCTTCAGGGAGGAGATTGAGACTCACCTCCGTAAGCAGGCTTACAGGACTAACAGCGAAGCAGTGGGTTAAATGTCACCCCTGTGACATTTGATGACTTCAAATTCACAGTGAACCAGCATCATTTTACAGCCTTAATTCAGCTTAAAAATGCAGTGCCTCTCTTTTTCAGTGAAGAAGAGTTTAGAGGGATTTTGGTTCTTGTATTTGTTTTCCGAGTAATTCTTTGACTGATGTGCTATTACCTACATATCTTGCAAGTTCAAGCACCTCAAAAAAATTGGGAAGCATATGTAGTTCAAGGAAAGTGTCTTCAGTATCAATTGAAAAAAATCAGTGGAATGTACAACTCAACACTTTTCCATGTGGTACATTTCAATTCTTATATTTGCATTATTTTAAGAATTAAATTAAATAATCTTTTGTGTTGTCTTGAGTATTTTCAGTCTGTTTGGCTCACTGCAGTGTGACTTTAGAAGGATACTATACTTACACTCCATTGTAGAGACAAGAGAAAGGTGTGAAAAATAATCTCACCGTGAAAAGTATATGGGACGCGCTGACTGGTATGCCAACTGTTGTGGTTGCTGATTTCACAGCAAGGGCTTGGTGCCACATTTGCTGTATTAACAGACATTCACATGGTTGAATGTAGAATAATTCATGTGAAAGGGGGGGGATGAAAATCTAAGTGGAATTTTAGAGCATATAATGTGATTTCACACTGCAGAAGAGACACCACCTTCTTATCTCTGTGATGGATCAGACAAGTTGGGAACGTTCCAGTTGGGTGTTTCAAGGTCTGGTCTTTTCCCACAGTAGATCCCACATCACAGAATCCCTTCTATAAAGTGGGCAATGCTATTAAACTTATTTGTTTAAAGATTTTTGGCCCCACTCCTCCTTATTCAAAGACCTTGCCTGTACATCTCATCCTTTAAGTTGAGGAACCATTATTCATTCCCATATAAATTTATTAGAGGCCTATGTGCTATTATGCCAATATTGTCCTTTTGCTTTCTTTTTCTCTTTCTGGCATTCTCCTGACATGTTTTTGGAAGGCAATCATATACTCTTAGCTGTTTCAGTGACTGTAAAAGCAAATGCTATTACCATCTTTCTTTGTACAATGCTCTCCATTCCACTGATTATCCTAGTAGCCTTATTCTTCACTTTTTCAGTTTGAGGGGGTTTTAGGGTTTTGGGTTTGTTTTTTTTTTTTTTTTTTTTTTTCCTGTTGGTTTGTTTGTTGTTTTTTTGTTTGTTTGTTTGTTTTGTGTGTGTGTGTGTTTGGTTTTTTGAGCATGCATAAGCAGAATTATGCTGTGGTCTCATTAGTGTCTTGTACAATATTTCGCTATTTCCCTTTTGGATATTTCAGGATGCATAAACAGTTTAAATGCAGGCAGGTCATTTTTCTCCATGTTGTCTTATATGCTACCATATGGCATGCCTCATTCTTAATAATTTGTTTATAAAATGTATGCTGAGAATGCTAATTCAGTGGTTAAACCATTTGCATGGTCTCCACTGAATCTAGAAATTAGTTGAAAACCTTTCTCAAACCAGGTAATTAAGATCTCTATGAACTTGGTTTGCTTCAAGAATTCTGAAGGCAACTAAAAATTTAAATGCTTGATTGCTGAATAGCAGATATGCTGTGCAGATAGTTCTGGACACTGATCCTTTTTACATGTATATAAAATTTGCCTTTATGTAACTTATTGTGGAGAACAGTGTACTGTATTGTACTTAGAGTGAAGAGAATGCATTGCAAGGCTTCTTGCAATTGATATTCTCAATGTAATAAATTGAATTTCTGCATTTTAGGAATTGTTTTAAGCTGTTTCTTTGAAATAAGTTTTTAAAATAATATTTTGCAAGGCAGATAACATGCCAAGTTCAAGTAATAGTATTTGCAGCCAGAAGTTCAACCAGCTCATTTTTGCATCTTGAGTGAATATCTACCCAGACCAGATATGAAAATTCAGAGTCAGTTCCCTGGACAACTTAAACTTATACCGGATGTTATCTTACTTTAAGTTATCTTGGTGGTTCCTAACAAAAATGATAAGGTACAAGTGAGGAGAAGGTTAAAGATGTAGGCATGATGATTTGGGGTAAAGATATAAGTGGGACCTTCTACTGAGACTCCAGCCCTTGGAACTTCAGCCGTTACTGCTGTCCTGTCTCTGCTGTCCAAGAATAAGCATCCAAAACGCCTCTCACTGGCACCACCAGTGCTTGGCACGCCCTGGAATTGGTACTGGGGTAGTGCAGAGGTGTTAAGCATTGCTACAGCTCAGCTCTTACCACTCAAGCACTACCCCAAAAGGATCCGGTTGTCCTAGTTTCCATGTTTTGGAAACACAGCAGACTGCTGATGCAGATAGCCAGATCTCTTACCTTCTGCTATTTTCCACTGGGTGGTTGTGCTTATCAGCAGTGGTGAGGAAGGAGAACAGTGTAAACTGTCTGCATTTCTGCGATCAAAAATGGCCTACGGTGTCGATGCTGGAAGGCAATCAAGCAAGTCTGGAGCTGAATGCAGTCAACAGGAACCGCATTTGAGAACTCCTTTTCCATTCATCATCCCAAAACGTGGAAGCGAGAGTACTGGAGTTAAAAGGAAGTCAAAACTCTTAGAAATAGTTAATGTCAGGGTTTGGTATTGACACAAGTGGTCTGAATGAATGATTATTTGAGGACTCCTGAAATTTCAGGGGCCCTTGCAGGCCTGCTCTTTCTCTTGTCTTAGTTCAGCTCTGTGCAGTAACTGCCTGTACAAAAACAAGGTGCTGTGGCACACAGCAGCTGGGCAGCTTGTCAGGAGCACAGGCAACCATCGCCTATCGCATTTGTTACAATAGCCACAGATACTGATATGGGCTGTGTGCTGTGTTAAGTCAAGGTGAGCTATTCACAGCCCAACAGTATGAACAAGAATCATTTTAAGCATGGAATCTCCTCAGATGCATTTTGCTGCTGCATGCTGCTGGATTTGGTAGACACGCCTCGCTGTGTGCATCTGCAGGGAAGATGGTTTTACTGCTAACAATCAATCTGTAGAACATTTACAGCAGGAAAATACTTGGCTCTAATAGTGCTTTACAGGTTATGGGGTAGCTTATTAGCAACTTTGACATTGGAAATTAAATCAGTTACTTAAAAGCTGTTATTCATGATTTAAAATTTGCACTTCTAGGGAATTAGTAATAATCATGTACAGTTCATGTTCCCTAATGACTTACCATTTTACCTTCTCAATTGTCTCTAAATTATTATAGAATTAGATTAAAAATTATAAATAACTACCTTAAAGTTACAGCTTTTAGTTAAATCCTAAAATAGCCTTTTTTTAATTATAATTCTCTAGTATTTTAACTTATCCTTTTGGGCTAGGCTACAGGCTTTGACTATTTAGTTAAAAAAAGATATTTAAGATTTTTACTTTGGATAATGATTATGCCTCAATGCATTAATAGGTACTTTTTCAAAATAAGATGCAATGTTTTCCCGTAAGAAAGGCCCTCACTGAACTAACTGATAACTATTAAACAGATTAATTATTTTGTCTGTTTTAATAGAGATTCCCCAGAAGCGAACAGGATGCTTTATATATCCCTTGTAATTCCAAAATAGAGAAGAGGTTGAGACCTACTAATTGCAGAGAGAATGTTTCTGTTCTGTTTACTGCTCCAAAAGTTATTCAGATTTGTACAAAAACATCATAAGATCACCACGTGGTGACTGTTTTCCTGGTCCTGTTCTGCTTTTCATCATTCTTTGTCTGGGAGTTTTTCTAGCAAAAAGTCATCTGGAATCACTTCACTTGCTCTTCCATCATAGTCTTGAGGAAAGGCATGTGTAGACCCCATTTCAGGACACAAATTTTATAGTTGTTATCAATTACTGCTGCATTACCCCAAGATAACTGATCAAGTGTCTTGTCTATGTGGCTGTGGATGACAGTGACACCTTAATTATGCTCCTGAGCAGTTAACACAAAACTGAGTCCCTGACCAGCACTGGTCAGAAAAATATATGAATCCTCAGAGAGTAGTTTGTTTTCCTCAAGTCCTTAGCATACTTGAAAGAAATTACATGTGCTGTCTAAACATATTCTATCCTGACAACTTGTATGGCTCTTTTCTTCACCTCTCTAAATCTCACATCGTGTTTCTTGTAATATGTTTCATCTCTCCCTATGTTAGTCCTTATTAACCCAATCTATTTTTTCTTTGGTATGGCTCCCCTCCCATTTCTTCCAGTTCTGTGCCTTAAAGCCTTCAGCCTTTTACGAGCTGCCATCCCGGCTCTTCGGTGAGGTGGGAGTGTCGGGGGTCCCAGCTGCCGGATCTGCAGGGGGGCTGAGCTGAGGGAAGGCCTGGGGGCTGGTGGGACCCTGTGAGCAGGGCAGGAGCTGCCAGGCAGCACAGGAACTGCTCCCGAACATTTACCAGCCCCGAGAAATGACTTTTGACCACAAAGGACTCTGTTTACAAGCTCTACTATGGATTAGGCTTTTTTCTTATTTCTGTATTTGTCAGAACATTTCATGCTGAAATACAGTAAACTGTTTCAGCACTATGAAATGCATGGCAAAGAGCAGTAATTTAAGACCATTACCCATACCCAGTGTTTGGTTGCACACTATCGCATCTGCTCGAACAGAACTGGAACAGAAATAGTAGGATGTGCCCTTATTATAAGGGGAGTTTACAAGTGATTTCAGTTACCTGAGTGTATTGGACTTGATTGATTGTATTTTGGCATAGCCACACTGTGATACCAGCCACCTGTGTTTGTATACAGCTGTGCCACTGTTTTCCAGTTACTGCTGCATGCTGTAATACAGAGTAGGTTTGCTCTTTCACAGTAAAATGTGTAACTCTTCCTCGGAGGTGTTTCCTAACCTCATCCAAGAAAGAGAGGAAACTAGTCATGTTTCAAATATGAAAATCTCTTGCTTGAATAATAAAACCTATTCATTGTGTTGCTTTAGGCATAAATCTGGCTAAATGGCTGGAAAATGTTAGCGAAGTGTTTAGTCTCAAGCTTGTAAGTGCCGTCAGGGGACTGCAGAGATAAGGCTATGGCTGTGTGGATGCGCCTGGGCCAGCAGCCGCTGGGAAGAGCGGTGCTGCCGGGGCGGACGGTGGGGCCAGGATGGCTGAGGGCTGCCGGGGCGGCATCGCTGCCCTCCCCGCGGTGAGGAGTACCTGGAGGTGCCGGGGGAGCTGCCGGCTGCCCCCCAGCTTCTCCCTGGGAGCTGTGGTTGGGGTTTGCTGTCTGCTTTAGCAATAAACATGGAGTTAATTGAGGGGGAAGTTAAGCCTCGGGGGTGTCTCCGTCCACAGAACAAGTTCAGTAACTTAATTATTAATGCTTCAGTGTCGATACTGAAGCATTGTTGCTGGTCACCTCCAGCCTGAGCCTGTGCAAACACTGCAAAACCTGTCAGCTCGACGGGCCAAGGCCCTTCCGCTGGAGCCACAGGCAAGTTCTGGAGGAAAGAGGAACGTCAAGGTTTTGTGTGGTGCACTCAGGTCATTGTCAGTTATGACAGCTCTGACCTGCCCTGCTCCGGGGTGTCAGAAATGGGTGCTTGCCGTGCACGGACCATTGCTGGCTCAGTGGAGGAGACCTGCTCTTGCCTTTCCCAAGGTGTGCTCTTCCTGCAGAGGGAGGATAAAACCCACACTGTTCATCTTGGGCTGCCTGCCACTGGGGCATTGCAAAGATAAATGAAAATATTATGCTTTGGATTCAGAACCAACTGTCTGCCCAGGGTCGGTGCTCAGGTTACAGGGCTGAGTGTTGGGCCATGTCCCTCTGTTTTGACAGATGCTGTTTATATAATGCACCGTTTCCCTTTTCTAAGC